TACTCAAATTTTCAATCTTTCATAGCACACTAACAAAATTAGGCAAACTGGACTGCCATAACCAAAGATGTTATAGAATGTACATGATCCTGGCAAGACAATGATCAGGAAATAGTTTTCTTTTTATTTGGTACCAGGAATCAAACTCAGGACCCTGCACTTGCCAGGCAGGCACTGTGCCGCTGAGCTATATCCCTGGCCCTGCAACTAGTTTTCTTTAGAAAATAATTCTACTAAAAATATGGGAATAGATGTCATTTAAAATATCCACGACATTTAAATGCATGACTGCGACTCCAAATTGCCATTTAGTATGCTTTGTGTTGCATGATATAAAACTAACCCCCACCTATGGAATGTTATGCTGACATCCAAGACAGTCAAAGCCTGCCTTAATTCAATTTCCAACTATTTTCTTATTGTACCAAAAAAAAACCCCAGCGAATGATTTCACCTCTAAAAAATCATTTACACTTAAAGAATGTGATGAGGTGAGATTCCCTCTTTTAAACATGTTTATAAAGTTATTTAAAAACTTGCATTTATAAAATAGTTGGTTATTAAGTTTAGGGTTAATTTGATATGCAGCAGGAGATAACTAACACAAAGAAAAAACTTGAAAAAATATTCAGGGACTTGAAAAGAGTTTTGGGGGGCCACACTGGAGGTTGATAAAGGAGAATTAAAAAGAATTATAACAATATGCAATATATTAACCATTGTTAATTTCCTATGATCCTGTTTTGAAACTCTGTATCATTGTTTTTATTTTTTTCTCTATAAAAAAGTCACACCTCCATGACCCACTTGGACATACCCCAAATTGTGTCTTATTAATCCCCTGGGTGTTTCCTAATTCAATCAAGTTGACACAGCTAAGGTTAATTGCAATAAAGGCTCAGAGACTTAAAACGCAATGGCAGCTGGATGTGGCTGTACAAGCTTGTGTCTGATCCCAGCTACTAAGGGGCTGAGGCAGGATGATTTCAAGTTCAAGACCAGCCTGGAAAACATAGTGAGATCCTGTTTTTGAAAGAAGAAAGGTTGAGGATGTAGTTTAGTACCAAATCCTGGGTTCAGTTCCCACAACCACAGACACACACATACATACCTACAACACAAACACACAAACACATGCTCGCACACGTACCCTGGTATCATGTGAGCAAAGTTTGCCAGCTAGCCAGCTGAAAGATAATATAGCAGGTATAAGAGAATGAAGGCATTCAAAACTGACAGCCAGCCTTAACTAACTACCTGACTTTGGCTAACTGCAAATGCATGAGTCCAGAATCAGCAGAATGTAGCCCCAAACAACAAAACCTCACAGCCTCACCCAGCTCAAACTACACTGTTATAAAATTATGAGCGACTCCTCTTAAGTCACTAAGTTTTAGTGTGGTGTTTTTATTCATCAAAAGGTAATTGATAGAAAAACAAATAGAGAATAAGACAGAATTCTAGGGAATTAAATTACGATAGCCAGATTTTTAAAATGTTTTCAATAGAAATTGTAAGAAGATAAAATCAAGAAATATAGATTAAAAGCTCAGTGTAGGGGTCTAGTATCCAACCAAATAGGAGAGAAAGAAGAGAGAAATTGAGAGGGGGAGGGGAAGGAGAAAGAAATTATGATATTTGCTGTTAGTAGACTATCCCTAACCCCTCATCCATTTCAGCATACCCCATAGCCAGCACTCACATTTACTAATGCGAGGGCTTCTCCTGGTTACTAGAGTCTGCTTTATTGGGTGCACAGTGCTAGTTCATAGTGCTGGGCATTTGCCAACCTCAAAAGTGGCACAGAGGCCGACAAGAACTGGCATAAAATTACCCTTACTTTTCAGGCAGGATAACTCTGAGGCTCAGAGTCTCTCGTTGGGAATAAATTCCGCTTACCGGTAGTAATAACCTGCTAGCGAACAACTCTCCATCAGCTGCCCTCCCGGCCTGTCTCACCTGTTTAGTTCACTACCAAGTTTCGTGGTATCACCTCCAAAATAAACTGCATGATCTGAATCATTGTCTCAGAGTCTTTATTTCCTTGGGAAAATCTAAACTAAGACAAAAATTAAACATAAACATTTATCAGAAATTTCTAGATTGCAAAGACTGCCCATCAAATGTCAGGAACAATCATTGAAAAAAGTGCCACATCTAGGCTATTCATAATTTAATTTCAGAATGCCATGGACAAAGTGAAGATCTTAATGTGCCCAGAGAGAAGGCGCAAAAAAGCCGCATTATAAAGACCAAGCACACAGAGATGGGACTGATAAAGAGGATTCAGAATTAAATCATATAGGACACAAAAAGCACAAGAAATAAAACAAAAAATAAACAAGTAGAATTACACCAAACTAAAAAGTTCCCCCTGTGGATTGGGGGCAAATATTGGTAAACCATATCTGATAAAGCTTAAATAGCTAATCATTTAAGGAACTCCTACAATTCAATACAAAACAACAAATGACCTGATTAAAGCAGGACCTACACAGACATTTCTCCAAAAACAGCATAGATACGATGGGTATATGAAAAGGTGCTCAACATCATTAATCCACAGGTAAATGCAAGTTTAAAAAACTCACAATAAAATACCATTCCTTACCTGTTACAACAAATTTTTATCAAAAAAGTGAAATAAATGTAGACTAGGTGTGGAGAAATTAAACCCTGTACTCTCTTGGTGGGGTTATAAGCTAGCGCAGGTATTCTGGAAAACAGTATGAAAGTATCTCAAAAAAAAAAAAAAATAGAACTACTGTATGACCCCAAATCCCTTTCCTGGGTACAACCCCCAAGCAAATGAACTCCTTGTTTATTGAAACTTTTCTTACAGTAGCCCAGATGTGGAACCAGCCCCCGTGTCCATCATCAGATAAATGGGTAAGGAAAATGTGGTACACCTACATAACAGAATACTACTTACTCACCCTTAAGAAAGAAGGAAATTCTACCATTTGCCACAACCTGGATGAACCTGGAGAACATTAAGCTAAGTGAAAGAAGCCAGACACAAAAAAATAATGCATTTTAGTCACTCTTATAAGAGAAAGTTGTGGGTGGGGGAGAAGTAACTATATGAGATGGGTATGTTAATTTGCTTTACTGTAATAATTACCTTACTATGTTTATATACATTGAGATAAGTACATCAAAACATCATGCTGTATACCTTAAATATATACAATTTTAAAAAATAGAACAAAAACAACCAGACACAGTGGTGTACACCTGTAATCCTAGCACTCAGGAGGTTGAGGCAGGAGAATCCCTGTGAGTGCAAGGCCAGCCTGGGCTACACAGTAAGTTCAAGGCCAGCCTGCACTGCATAGTGAGACCCTGTTCCCAAAAAACCAACCAATCAAACAAACAAAAGCAAAAAACTGAAAACAAAAAAATTAAGAAAGGTATCAGAATTTTCAACAGCCATCCTGAAAGCTAGAGACAATAAAACAATGTCTTCAAAATTCTGAGAGCAAACAATTTCTAAAGAATTTTATACCCAGCCAAACTAAATTCCATTCATTTGAAATATGAAAAAAGGCATTTACAGCCACTCAAGAGTTCAAAAACTTTACCTGACATTCTTCTACAAGTTCTCAAGAATCTACTTATAAAATGATGAAATAAATAGGAAACAAAAGAAGAAACAGTATTCCTGAGACAGGCTATGTGACAGAGGACTTTAGCAAAGGAAAGTCCCAGAACAATATCTGCCTGCCAGGCCTAGGCAGACTGAACAGGAAGAGAGGCCTTTGGGAGAAACGTCTCCAGAGCAGTGTGTGGACTGACTGATTGTTTGATACGTTTGAATGTTTAGGAATACTATTGAGATATGTGATAGATCTATTAAAGTCACTTGATGAGCAAAACAGTGATAGATATTGAAAAACGAAGCATATGGGAAATGGATAACAACACTGTGGGAGAGAGAACTCTGTAAAGGGGCGAAATCAATGGGGACCATGCAGTAAATAACGTTTACAAAATCAAATAATAAATACCAATTCTTCTATCTAACTAAAAGTGCCATATAACTATATTGAGACACTTGAAGAACAAGTATTGCCTGTCATAAGTTCATACATGGACGCGTGAAACTATTAAATTAATAAATGCAATATAGTTCCTGCCAGAGCTGTGCTGAGAACACCCTCTCTGGTCCACCCATCCTTTAATATTCCCCACAGCCCTTCACGAAGGTTCTTTCCTCCCTTAGGAATCTTCTAAAACTGGCTTTAACGAGGCACTCCCTACCTTATTTTCATTTTCTCCTCGTGGCCTAACACTGCACCTGCCGTGGGCCCCTTGAGGGTAGGAATCCATCTTTTCTTTGTAATTCTAGTACCTACCAGGCAGCTGCTCCTGGAAATTGTTAGAATGAAGACAGAAAGAAAAAAGTGAGGGCTGGAAGTGGATTTAGAGAACAGGAGAAGCCAAAAAGTGACTGTCTCCCCATTCTTGATGAATTTCAATCACCTCATCTTTCTTGAAAGGGTGAGCCGGGGTGTGGGTGTGGGGACTGGGAAGGCGTGGAGCGGGCGGGGGGCGGGGAGTGCGCCCTGCCTCGAAAGAATCTGAAAAAGCAAGTTAATTTTCTCTGCTTAAAATGGACTAAGAGAGCCCACTATTGTGTCCAGTTTTGCACATTTTTGCAGTTAGTAAGTATTATTTAGGATCCATAACGGTCTTTTAAACAATAAAACGCAGTGCATAAATGGAAGAGGTGGGCGAAGCAACTAGAGACAGATCTGAGTTACACCTCGATTTCTTTTCAGTATGCGGTCTCCCCAAATGGCTCCCTCCCAGCCCCCCACGGCCTTCTCTCCACTGGCCTCTCCCTGCGCGCGGTCTCCAGGGCAAAGATGCACAGGGAGCCAGAGACCCGGGCTGAGAGGCCCCGCAGGATCAGGGCGGGGAAGGAAGGAAGCAGCGGCCCGCTCGCCGCGTGGCTTCCCCCGCAGCACCCTCCCTCGCCCCTCCCTGTCCTCTACCTTCTGGTGCCCGTGGAACCAGTGGGTCGGGGGCGCGGGGAAGGGGCGCAGATCCCGCAGCAGCCGCTGCCTCCGCAGGTAGAGCTTGATGACCTGCAGCAGCCCCAGGGCCAGGCCGAACACAAACGCCAGGTACAGCGGCCGCGCGCTGCGCGTCTCCAGCCAGGACGGCTCCATGGCTCTGCGCTCGCCCAGAGCTCCAGCTACTCCCTGGGGCTCTGACCGCGCAGCCGGAGTGCGGGTCCCCAGCCCCCCACGGCCTCCCAGGCCCTGGCTTCTCCCGCCCGAGGAAGGCGTAGGGAGGGGCAGCGCCGGCCCGGGAGCGCAGCGAGGGCGCCTCCCCGCCTCCACCGGCTCCCCGCGGACGCAGGCCAGGCTCTAGTCAGACTGCTACCCTGTTGAGCTGGCATACATTGTGTGACACTTTTCAATCTCAGAAGACCTGAATTTAGATTCCAAAGGATGCTTAGGTTGGAATAATCGTTTTTCTTTTTTGCCTCAAATAAATAATGAACAACTATGCCAAAAAGACCATCTTTCCGGCTCTGGAATCCTATCAGAAGCCAGAGTGTGGCGGAGGGGACCACTGACAGTTTCACAGGTATGCGGTGTGGCCTGCCCAGGAGCGCGCTGGGAAACGTGTTACAGTTGCTTCTCACCCACAAACCCAGCGTGTGGAGACACTCACCGCGGGGTTCTTTCAACTGTTCCCCTGTGCGCGCTGGCCCCGCCGAATTGGGAAGAGATACGCGGTAGCACAGGCACTAATGTTTCCCCCATCCAGACACAATTAGGGTTCGACGCATAATTTATGGATCCCAGTGTAAGATAAAAATGTGGGATCACAAATTGTTAATTTTAAGATGACAACAGCAGAGCATTAAACTGAACATAGGGCCCCGTGTGACTAACCAGATTCTGCCCGTGAAGTCCACGTTGGATATGAGAAAAAATCAAAAGCACAGCTCATAGGAAAATGTAGTAAATATGGCAGCTCTCTGCAGAATGTGGTTTGTTACACAATAAGAAAATAAAGGAATAATCAGTCTAAAGTGCTTTTACCAGCCGCCAGATATTAGCTGTCCTTATTTACTCAGGGTGTTAGAGAAATGTCTTGTGTTCTCACATGGTTTTTTTTGTATGGAGAATCGAACTCAGGACCTCGCGCTTGCCAGGCAGATCTCACATGTTTTTAAACATAGTCTCTTTTTAAAAAATTTCATTTGATTTTTATTTTGACTTGTTTATTTTTATTAGTACATGTTTGTGGTGCACAATGATTACCATCATTGTGGGGAATAGGCACGTGTGCATAATGCATCTCAATTCTTTTTTTTTTATTTTAAACAGAATAGTAAAAAAAAAGGAACAATAGCAAGATAGAAACAAAACAAAGCAAGAACATTAAAAATGATACGGCAATGAATCCTTGATTGATCAATATTGCGTGTCTCTATCTGTTTTCATGAGAAACCACTTTGAAGATATCAATATGTAATACAACAAGCATTGTTAATTTCCTACCACTTTGTTTGTAACTCTGTATTGTCTGTACTGTTCTTTTGCTATTTTGTAAAATGTTGTCTGTCTGTTAATGTTTTCCTCCTTTTATTTTTAAAATAAAAAATTTAAAAAACAAAAATGATACGGAGTTTCAAACCAAATGATAGGAATTAACAGTGGTTGCTACATTACATATTGTTATCTTAAACAAAGTTGCTCGGATTACCAGATGTAAGAATGGAAGATTGATCAAATCATTAAAGAGAATAAGAAAGTAATAATTAAAAAAAAAAAAAAACCATTAGAGACAATACAGAGTTTCACTAGACAAGATGGTAGGAATTCACCAATGGCTGTTATACTGCATATTGTTGTCTTCATATCAGTTGCTCAGATTACCAGATATAAACATGCAAAATTGGTCAAAATATTAAAAAAATTAAGCATGAACTGTTGCTTTCACTAAACCACCAGACATCAGCAGTACAGTTATCCCAGATATGTATGTATATATATATATATGTCACCTTAGTTCATTCTTCCTTTTTCTTCTTTCCCTCATCCCAGTTGTTTCTTCCTTTGAGCAATTTCTTTCCTTTTCATATTATCTATTGTACATTTTGGGTTTTATTTACTCTTTCATGTTCTTACACTAGGGAGACAATATGATGTTTACACATATGGGTCCGATTTATTCATTTCTTTTCTTTTGTTTTTGTTTTGTTTTTTGTCTTTTTGAGACAGTGTCTTGCTATGCAGCTCAGGCTAGCCTTGAGCTCACTTTGTAGCCCAGGCTGGCATCGAACTCACAATGATCTTCCCGCCTCAAGCTCCCTAGTGCTGGGATTACAGGTATGTGCCGCCATGCCTGGCCTCAACTTTTTTTGTCCCCCTCCCTGACTTTAAGAAAAAAAAATTTGCCAGCGTCAGATTCATTTACTTATAAGTCCTTATGAAGTTAACTATCACACATACAGATTAACAGCCAGACTAACGGCCCAAAACATAAAGAGCACATAAGACAATTATACTAAATCAAGGTACACTTTTAGATACATGGTCCTTGCTGTGTTATAAAGATGTTTTTTCTCTCTCCTTTTTCTGTTGTCTGTCTTTTATTTTGCACTTTACTTATATTTTGGGTTTCTCATATAAGAGAAACTACATGACATTCAAGCCTGTGTGTCTGTCTGACATTATTTAACATTACAGTCTCAAGGTGCATCCATTTTCTCTGCAACAACTCACAAGTTTATCTTTCTTTATGGCAAAGTAACACTCAGTTGTGTATAAATACCACATTTCCTTATCCATTCATCTGTTGATGGACATACAGGCTGCTTCCAAGATGGAGCATTGTGCTGCTATAAACATGGATGGGCGTGCATCACTGTGATATTGATAGGGCAAGAGAGACTCCATTTTCTGTTTTTAACTGTATATTAAGAGAAGTTGCTTAAAGTTCACTTAAGGTGTAGTTCACCCCAGCCGCCTTTGTTAGTTATCAACTCGGCAGAGCAGAGTCATAAAATGGGAACAGAACAAACAGAACAAATTGGAAAGTGAGCTAAAAGTTAAACTCCAATGGTCATTTGGAATTCTGTTGTCTGACCTTCTGGGAGAAGTAAACTTTGTGATAATTGTGTGACATTCTTGTAAGATTCCCCAAAGTGAGGTAATGATTAATATAGAAACCTAAAACGTACTTGAAGGACATCTCTCTGGCTTCTGGTTAGAGACTGTCTGTCAGCTGGCTCCAATAAAGCTTTGTTCATTCATGCCTTTTCGGTTTTCTTGTGAGTGCCTTTCTGGATGGACTCGCTCGCCATATCAATATCACATCTAGACACCTACATGAGGAAGACCTGGGTCATGGAATTTCTAGTTTTAGTTTTTGGAGAAATCTCCATACTGATTTCCACAGTGTTTGTACCAGTACCAGTTTATACTTCCACCAACAATGAAGAAGGTTCCTCCTTCCCTGCAGCATCTCCAACATTTGTTATTGGTTGATTTTGTAATGATAGCCACTCTTTCTGGAGTAAGATGGAATTTCAGTGTTTTAATGTGCATTTCTTAAGTAGCCAGTGATGTTGAATATTTTTTCATGTATTTGTTGGCTCTTTGTAGTTCTTCATCTGAGAAATGTTTATGCATTTCAGATGCCCATTGTTTGGATTGCACCTTTAAATTTAAAGGCCCTAATTTTTTTAGTTCTTTTTATATTTTAGATATTAGTCCTTGTCTGAAGTGTAGCTTGCAAAATTTTTCCCATTCTATAGGTTATCTCTGCACTTGGTGGTTTCCTTTGCTATGCAGAAGCTTTTTAATTTGATGTGATTCCATTTGTTGATTCTTGGTAAATGTTTGCAGTATATAATGTTTAGATTCCTTCTGGTGAGTTGTTATGTGTACATAACACATCTTAATTCCATGTTCTCTCCTTTTCCCTCCCCTCTTTACCCTCTCTCTCCATCACTTGATTCCCTTTCTATTTGAGAAATATCTATCTCCCTACTTCCTATTATCTATCTTTTGTTTTCCTCTACTGAAAACTTTAGGGTTTTCATATAAGGGAAACATATGATATATAAGTTTGTGCACCTGATTTATTTCCTTTAACATTATGGTCTCAAGGTACATCTATTTTCCCTCAAATTACTCAAGTTTATCCTTCTTTATGGCAGAGTAGTACTCCATATTTAAATAGCATATTTTCTTTACCCATTCATCTGTTGATGGACATATAGTATGCTTCCAATATTCTGCTATTGTGAATTGTGCCACTATAAACATGAGTGTCCATGTATCATTGTAATATGATGTCTTTAACTCTTTGGGGAAGATACTCTACCTAGCCGGGAAATAGCTGCCTCAAACAAAATTTCTAGTTTTAGTTGTTGGAGGAAACTTCGTACTGATTTCCACAGTGGTTGTACTAGTTACAGTCCTGCCAACAATGAAGGAGTTTTACTTTTTCCTCACAGCCTCACCAACATTTGTTATTATTTGATCTTTTGATGATGGTCATTCTTACTGGGGTAAGGTAGAATGTCAGTGTTTTTCTAATTTGTATTTCTCTAGTGGCCAGAGATGTTGAGCATTTCTTCATGTATTTATTGGTTATTTTTACTTCTTCTTTTGAGAAGTGTCTATTCATTTCACTTGACTATTTTTTGATTGGGTCTTTTTGGGGTGGATTTTTTTTTTTTTACTTCTTTATATGTTCTAGATATCAGTCTTCTGTGTGAGGAATACCTCGCATTTTTTCCCATTCTTTAGGTTGTCTCTTTACTCTGCTGGGTTTTTTCATTTGCTGAGTAGAAGCTTTTTAATTTGATATGATCAAATTTGTTGATTCCTGGTACTATTTTCTGTGCAATTGGGGTTTTGCTCAGAAAGTCCTTGCCTATGCCTATGACTTCAAAAGCTATTTGAAGCAACTTAACTGTTTCTGTTTTAACATTTAGTTCTTTGATCTATTTTGATTTTAGCTTGGTATATTGGCCTGGATTCAATCTTCTGCATGTTAGTTTTCCTAACACCTACAAAGAAGTGTTCTTTGTATTTGTACTTGTATTTGTATTTAGGTCTCTTTGTCAAAGTTCAAATAATTGATTGTGATTGAGGTTGTTTCTGCCTCCTCTGTTCTGTTCCATTGATCCTCATGTCTGTTTTTGTCCAAGTACCATACTGTTTTTATCACTGTAGCTTTGTAATAATACTTCACGTCTGGGGTTATGATGCCTCCTGCTTTGCTCTTGTTACCCTCTTTTTTTCTTAACAAACCGTAGGATTTAATGGGATTTGTTGTGATTACTTGATACATGGATATATCATACCTTGATCATGTGAACCCACCATTCTTCTACCGTCTCCACCTTATTCATTGTCCCTTCCTAGTCCCTGATAGTTTATCTTCTATGTTCAAATCATTTTATTTACAGTTTCTGTGTGAAATAAAGCATGCAATGAGGCATTTGTCTACAGTATCTAGCTTATTTCTCTTAACCTGACATCCCCCAGTTCTGTAGATTTTATTCTGAAAATGACAGGATTTTTTTCTTTCTTTATTGCTGAACAATACTCCACTGTGTACTATGCCTTATTTT